GGAAATTTTTCGACTTCATGGGATTCCTACAGATGTGGTTTCGGATCGGGGGCCTCAATTCATCTCTCATTTCTGGAAACGGTTTTTGCAGCTACTTGGAGTGAAGGCCAACCTCTCTTCGGCGTATCATCCTCAAACTAATGGGCAGTCCGAGCGAACGATTCAGACGTTGGAACAATTCTTGAGGTGCTTCATCAACTATCATCAGGATAACTGGTTCGATATCCTTCCCCTTGCTGAGTTCTCCTATAACAACTCTGTTCACTCCTCTTTTCGAATTTCCCCCTTCTTTGCAAACTCTGGCCAAAATCCCTGATTCAATCTTTCACTTCCTTCTCCATCCGAATCCTCTCATTCAAATCCTCGCTCTGAGGCATTTGTCTCCAACCTCCAAGAAATCCACAACTCCATCTCCTTCCACCTCCATCGTGCTCAGGAATCTCACAAAACATTTGCCAATGTCCATTGTCAAGATTGTCCCCTTTACAATATCGGGGATAAAGTCTGGCTCCTCAGGCGAAATATCTCCACCACCAGGCCCTATCCAAAACTTGATTTCAAACGCCTCGGTCCTTTCCCTATCACTGCCATCATTAATCCTGTCACTTATCGCCTTGCACTTCCCTCCTCATATTAAATTCACCCCGTTTTTCATTCTTCTCTCCTTGAGCCTTATATTCCCAGTCCTATTCCCAATCGGGTCATTCTTCCACCTCCACCAGTGCAGCTCGAGGATGGGTCTGAGTACGAGGTTCAGGACATCCTTGATTCCAAGATTTCACGGTCTAAACTCTACTATCTGGTCAACTGGAAAGGTTACGGGCCTGAAGAACGCATTTGGGAACCTGCAGACAACCTGATTCATTCTCCTGACCTTGTTCAGGACTTCCACTGCCGCTATCCTTCTCGTCCCAGTCCTCATTCTTTTTCCCCATCTCCCATCCCTCGCCGCTCATCTCATCCTCCTCGTCGTTCTCATTCACATCCTCGTTCCACTCGTTCTTGAGGAGGGGGTGCTGTCAGGAATCCCCCAATTCTTGCCATATTTCTGACTCTCGCTGGATTCTTGACCTACAGACCACATTCCTGATTCTCGAGACACTTCCCTATTCCTGACTCTCGAGACACTTCCCTATTCCTGACTCTCTGATTTCCTATACAATTCCTGAGTCTCAAGCCACATTCTTGATATTGATGTGGCGCCTCCTCAACCTCAGCTATATTTAGGCCATCCTCGATCCAAGAGTGGTGGAGCTTCATCAACCTATAGTATATATAGGTTAGCCTTGTTCCATTTCTCCACAATCTGAATTAACGCCAGTTTAAGGCCTTTTCTTTGTTTCCACTAGCTTTTCTCTTTGTCTTTTGCATTTTCCAGTCTTGATCTTGTTAGGGGGTCTTGACAATAAATGACCATCACTTAAGTTTAATTTTTCAATTATAACTATATAGCATCAAGTAATTGCATAAATTGTAGCTTCAGAATCAAAGGAAAAGGAGGCTACTATTCTACCATGAAGTTGAACGAAAAAAAATAGCAAAAAAGAAGAATTTGAAAATACTATAAAGAAAGTGAGATTTAAATGATGCAAAAGTTAGATCTAAACTAAAATCCCAAATCAAAGCACTCTTTAAGGATAATCAAAATTACCTCTCATTTCCACCAATATGAGTGTATAGAATATTAAAATGGAATATAGAAATATGTAATATCAATTAGCCCAAAAACCCTAGCTTATATAAGTGGTCTGGATTAAAATCAATCTAAAAACTATTAAAATTCCATTATGCTAATATTAGTATATGGCATTGTAACCTATAACATTAAATTTTCTAGTGTAATTCAATTAATCATATATATAAATAAATTTTTATTTATTTTTATTTTAGTTGCTAAACTTTTATGTGTAATAAACTAAAATTTATGTCATTAAAAATTAAAAATTATGAAAATATTTACTTACGTATGAAAATTTTAAAATTATTGCTCTTTGAAATTTTCTAGTGTAACTCAATTAATCATGTATATTAAAAAAATTTCATTTATTTTTGTTTTAGTTGCTACTTGTGTTATTAACAAATTATGGCAATCTTTGTCTATGTAAAACAAATTTAAAATTACCATTCTTATCTTCTGCCAATGTGGGGTGGGGCAGGAGAGCTATGCATTGTCCTCAATGTCATTGACAAATATCTCTCTTACCTCCTTGAAACAATTTTAGGTTTCTGAATGACAATCAATGCCAAATTTGCTCTTATAGCAATTCAGGACAAGGTTATGGTATACCAGTTGGTAAAATTCAGCTTTGATTCAAGCATTTGAATTGTTAACAAAGCTCTGATTTAGAAAATTTAGATTTAGAAAATGGTAAAGGATATTCTTTCCCTTGTACTTCTAGAGCGTGATGGAACAGCAAGAGACCGTTGGCAGTAGCTCAAACGGCATCTCAATCTCTTCCCAAATTCGTTTGTTCTTGGCAATCTTTGCCCGACACAACGAAGTCGACGTTCGGCGATGATCATCCACGATTTGGCAGCACCGGGTCACGTACTCGTCACTGCCCTCTCCAATCCCCATGAGCAGCAAATCCTCTCCTTCCTCCTCCTCATCCTCGCAATCCGAGCTAGACGATGGCGGCCTCCCGGCAGGGCAGCAAATCCTCCCATTCACAGCCGTCCACCACCGCCGCTCACACCGACCCAGCATCCTCTCCATCGCCGCCGGGTGAGGAGCCCTATGGAGCACGCCCGAGGAGATCACGCACGACTGGAGCACATCCCTGTTGCTGCTGCCGGAATCCACGATCTCCCACCGGCAATCGCGCCTCCCAATCTCCAAAACCTCCATGCAATTCAGCCATATCTGCTGATCCCCGTGATCGCAGGGGAGGAGCGTGAACCCGCCGACCACGCACATGATCCCATTCTCGATCACCGCCCCTGTGCAATCCGCCCGGGGGATCTCCAGCTCCGGCAGATCGTTCCAGCAATCCCTGTCGATCGAGTAGGCTTCCACGGAAGAGAGCGCCAATCGATCGTCGTCGCCACCCTGGCCGCCGGCGACGATAATCTTGTCCTTCCAGGCTAGGCACGCGAATCCAGCCCTCGCCTGGCGCATACCAGCGCAGCAAATCCATCGCCGCTTGTACGCTCGCAAATCCATCGCGAAGACGCTGTCAAGAAACTCCAAGCTGGGAAGAGCCCTACCGCCGAGAACAAAGAGCTTGCCCTCCACGCAAATGCATCGCGCCGACATGGGCACGCCGCAAGGGACTCCAGGGATTGGCGGCAATTGCTCCCAGCTCCCCAGCTCTGGATCATACACCGAGACCGCCAATTCCAGCGCCGATTGTGATTCCGGAGAGGGAATTCTATGGATCGCCGCGAACATCTTCTTGGGGCAATCGGATTCCAGCTGCAATGCGCCTCTCCAGCCCTTGCTCACCGCTCGAATGGAGCGGCAATCCCACCACGAGCTCGCCCTGGTGAGGATTTCATCGCGTACCAGATGATCGGGGAGGCCATGGATCAAACTCTTTTGCTGCGTGAGCGTCGCCATTCTTTCTCGCTATCTCTGTCCAAAAGCCCTAATGTTTCGGGCATAGATATACCCAATTTCATTGTTTGAAAGATTCAAAGTGACGTGGCAGGATCGCTATTGGCCATTTGTCGTGTAGTGATGTGACACGTCACTGTGCCACCACGTGGCATGATTCAACGGGTGATTCGCCGGCTCTATCTATGCAAAAGCGCGGCAGATTTAAAATGTAGGTAGACCTCTCAAGCACGCTTCGAATCGAAACCGCGACTGACGCGTGGATAAGCTTCTTTGCTTGATATGACGCGCGTAGAAAAAATATCCTTCTTGACGGGTTCCAAAGGATCTTTGCTTCCAAATTGGAAGTTTGTGAGACCCGATCTCCGGGAAAATTCTAAAAGCTTATGAATCGTCACGTACCAATGACTGAGAGGAGATCAATCGATCAGATTGAAGTGCTCCTAATCACTGTTGTTTGATCAATGACTTATCGACCGCTCTCAAGCGCTTGCTCGCAAAAAGTTAAAACTTTTTTGAGAATGAATCCATACCCACCAAAGTGAATTTCACCAATCCATCCAGCACAAGACTGCGAGAAAGGAAAGAAAAAAAAACATTAGAGGAGGAGAGAAATGAGACTTACATTCTAGCATGGCGTCAAGTCGTCAAGTGCTGGCGTTACTTTGTAGACAAGCTTGTTGATTTCTAACACGCCACACAACGAAGCAGTCGGATCGAGAAGGACGTTGACATGATCAGAGTTCTCGACATTTTTTGTGTTGTTTGGAGCGACGAGCTTTGACAATCATCGAAAGCGACCACTTAAATACCTTTGTTTGTAGCGGTGGACGAACTGGATGGAGCATGAAACGTCGAGTGATTGATAGAAATGATGAGCCGAAAGCAAAGCTCAATGAAGCCTGAGAAACCCACACAGCATGATTGAAACACACAAGCTTAGAAGAAGCCGGAATCTTTGACTTACAAAAACCGGGGCAGAGACGTACCAGAGCATTTTCGGGCTCATCAGAAAACCAGTACAGGCAGGCTGCCTTTGTTTGCATCCGCCGTTGCTTTCCTAAGTTTCATTAGTTTTTTTCCCTCGCTCGACCCCTGAGACAACGAACCAAAAGCATTAGAGAAACGGAGAGAAGATTAAGTTACTAGTACCTGTAAACATCTGGCTCACGGGATCTATTGTAGATATACTGCACTGCGCTGATATATATGGTCCCGAGACAATATAAACATACCCGCTAGCTTCCACCCGTATAGAGTCACGTGAAATCTCGACCAGATTTCCCAGCTTGTTGCAGCAGAGAATGATTATGATTATACCCGCAAGGCACTGGGGAAAATTCCTGCGGCCCCGTGAGCCACTGCCAAGAGAAAAAAAAAATGGCAATGCTTAGGCCTGACTGACAACAATGTGACCCAAGCTTGTTTAGAAAAATACCTCTGTTTTGCAGTTTTGCTTTCTTGGTCTCGTGAGTCTTAAGCAGCTCTCCTCCACTGGTCCTCCAAAGTGGCGCCTTCTTCAATGAGCTTTTTGCGAAGTGAGGCTCCCAATACCAGAAAGCTGAAGACCACCTGGTACGCGGTACAGCCAGGTCTACTCTACCTCTGCTTTGGTCCGGCTTGTTTGGTTGCTTCTTACGCTAGAACACTCTCTCGTCTTCTAATTCGTCGCTCGGTCTCTCCAAAGAGCTGCAAGGACGTGGAACAAAAGAGATTTGACAAGACTCACAGGTGCGTTACAGCTTGTTGCTTTCTCGCTTCTCTAGCTCTAAAGCTTTGCTTGATTCTGCAGACAAGGATTGAAAGCAAGTCTAGAAAAGCAAAGACCAACTTGGAATGTTTAAATGCATACCTTGGCTCATCGCAGAAGCAGCGGTTCTATGGTCGTCTCAGAGGATTTAGCTCCTGTGCATGGAAAAAGGATTGAGTGATCACCAGTCTCCCGAGCAGTCCTCCATGCCTCCCACAACAACAAGTCTGGCTTATGGCTTGGCAGACGAACACATCTCCGGAGATCCGTCCAGGAAGCATTTGGTCTCGTCCGGCAAGCCACCGCTGTATCTCCGAGAAGAAAGCCCATCAGCACCAACAACACAAAGAACGTCCTCACCTCAGATGGATCAGAGTGACAGGATCGAGCTCACGCAGCTCCCCGCGTTGCAGCGCGGCGACGGCCGCTGGGCAGCAAGTCTGTTGATCGAGTGCGCAGCAGCAGTCGTCCAGAAAGACGCTGCTCGAGTCCAGCATTTCATGTGGATGCTCAACGAACTTGCTTCTCCATACGGGGACTTCGACCAGCGGCTAGCATCGTGCTTCCTCCAGGGACTCTTCTGCCGGATCACCGGGACGGGCTCCCGCCAACACCGAGTGCTGTGCTCCGCGGCGGAGAGACAGTGCCTCTTCGATCCAATGCGCAAGATGATGCTCAAGTTCCAAGAGATGAGCCCCTGGACAACTTTCGGTCACGTCGCGGCCAACGGAGCTCTTATGGAAGCCGTGGAAGGCGAGTTTCGCGTCCACATCCTGGACGTGAGCAGCACCATGTGTACCCAGTGGCCGACTTTGCTGGAAGCTCTTGCCACCCGCTCGGACGGAGCTCCACACCTGAGACTGACGAGCATTCTGGTAAGCTCCGAGGAGGCGGTCGTCAAAGTCATGACCGAGGTCGGCGCTCGCCTCCGAAAGTTTGCAAGGCTGATGGGAGTCCCGTTCGAGTTTCGGCTCCTCCAGCAGCCGGAGCTCGAACTGCTCGACGTCGCTACCATCCAGCCTCGAGCCGGAGAAGCGCTCATCGTCAACTGTATTCACTCGCTACACAATGTGTCCGAGAGGCCGCCTCCTTCTTCCTCGTCTTCCGCTGCTTCTCCACGAGATCTAGTCCTCAACACCTTCCGGAGCCTGAATCCCAAGCTCGTGATCATCGCAGACGACGAAGCCGACCTCATATCTCGAGGAGACTTCATGAGCCGATTCGTGGAAGCAGTCCGCTACTATTCCCTCTTCTTCGAGTCTGTGGAGGAGAGTTTCCCGAGAACGAGCAACGAGAGGCTGATGCTGGAGAGAATTGTGTCACGGAAGATCGTCAACCTGTTAGCCTGTGACGAAGCGAGCATCTCGGAGAGGCAGGAAAAGAGCAGCCAGTGGGTGATGAGGATGCGGAGAGCCGGCTTCGCACTCGCAAAGTTCAGTGACGATGTAGCCGATGACGCTCGGGCGCTGCTCAAGCGGTATAAGGAAGGCTGGGGATACACCAACACCGACGTTGGCCTCTTTCTCACTTGGAAGGAGCAGCCCACTGTGTTTGCCACCTCTTGGAAACCATTCTGAGAGCCTGTATAAATCCAAAAGATTTTCCCCCGAGTTCTGGTTCCCGGTTCCTGGTTGGATTGGATCCATCAAGTTCTCTGTTCCAAATCGCTTGACTTGTCGAGAGCCTCCATTGTTCGTTTGGATCTTCGCGATGATCAAGTTGCTGGAAACTTATTTTTACGTTCTTCCATAGTCCACGAAAGTGAAGAAAACCGTGCTCGTTGCTTGGACCTCGGATCAAACGTTTCTGCCTTGGAAACCATGCTGAACTTTTTAATTCCTTGACTAGCTTATCATAACCTGATTGCCAGCTCTTGGAAACCTTGAAACTTTTGACGCGCTTGCTTGGCTAGCTAGACGTTTTTAAATCCAATGCTCTTACCATATTAGTTCCTGCGCTGTCCGGAACTTTTTAATCCAAAACCTTTCCTCCACCATCGACAAATCGTCCTGCAGAACAAAAAATAAATTAGCAACGCATCGATCTTAGCAACTCGATTTTAGCAACAAGAAAGTCCAGTCGCCATGCAAGAAGAAAACTAAAAAGAAAGAAATGCGTACCTCGCAAAAGGAAGATCCCAGTCCTCTTTGCTTCATTCCCTGGAAGAGATTCTCGGCTTCTTGCAAGAGCTCCTCCCGGCCAAGTGATAATCTCACCAGCATCGTCGTGAAAGAGACTAGATCGAGCTCCGGTATCGCGTGGAACAGCTCTTGCGCTGGGCGAATCCGGCCACCACCGAGTTCCGCGCGCTGTGGCATCTCGTCGAGGCGTCTGCAAGATCCGTGCTGGGAGTAGACAGTGAGCATGATCGTCCAAGAAACGATGCTCCATTCTTCCTCGAAATACGCCGCTAGCATCGAGTTCCAAGAAAAGAGACCGCGCTCTTCTATCTGATCGAAGATCGCCCTGGCGCTACCAGCATCCCCGATCTGGGACTAGGCGCGGTGGGATCTTGTGCCCTGGACGATCGGGGCATCGCATCAAACACCGCCTTGGCGCCTTCCAGATCGCCGTTGCGAGAATACGCGCTGGCGAGATCCAGGCCGGATGAGGCAAGAACACATCGCGCCAGATCGCGGTATAGCTCCCGCGCTCCGGCCAGCGTCGTGCTCGCTTCGAGGCATCCCTTGTGATCCAAGCGCATTTTTCTTCTTCTCTTCAAAAATTTCCATCCCGAGCGAAGAACCCTAAAAACAGGGACCAAGCCCTTAGGGTGAAGAGAAGAGAGGGAAAGGAAGGATGCGGCGATGGGCGCGATTGGCCTCCGATTCCACCAAAAGGCACTTCTCCACCAGCGCCACGCGCGGATCCTCCTTCAACTACAGCACTAGGTCTGGCAGCGGTGGATCGATCACAGCGACTTTGTTTCCCGGCGATGGAATTGGCCCCGAGATCGCCGCCTCGGTCAAGCAGGTAATCTCGATCGCATTCTTATCCAGGATTCTAGCTAGTGGCTGACGATCGCATTCCTCCGCATCGTATCGACTGTAGAGCTTGGATCTTTTCGTTCTTCTTTCATTTGAGAAGAACTTTCCATTGTTCTTTGTGTTTTTCCTCCTCTGGCTGCTTTTTTCTTCTCAATTCGCGCAACACAGTGCCAAGAGAACATTCTTTCTCACTTCGATAGCTTCTTCATGTGTAGATTTTCAAGGCTGCGGGCGTTCCCATAGAATGGGAAGAACACTACGTTGGGACAACACTGGATCCCAAGACGGGGAGCTTTGTCACGTACGACAGCATGGAGTCTGTACGAAAGTATGGAATTGGTCTCAAGGGCCCGATGGCCACTCCCATTGGGAAAGGCCACAAGTCTCTCAACTTGACGCTGCGCAAAGAGCTCGGCCTCTACGCCAACGTGAGACCGTGTCTCAGCATCCCCGGCTACAAGACGCGATATGACAACGTCGATCTCGTTACCATCCGGGAGAACACCGAGGGCGAGTACAGTGGATTGGAACATCAAGTAAGCAAAGCTTGCTGGTTTTCGAGTCTCGATCTTGGCTGTTGGTTTCTTTCACAGGTGGTGAAAGGTGTTGTGGAGAGCCTTAAGATTATCACTCGCCAAGCTAGTATGCGTGTCGCGGAGTATGCGTTCCACTACGCCAAAACCAACGGTAGAAAGCGTGTGTCCGCGATACACAAAGCCAACATCATGAAGAAAACGGATGGATTGTTTCTACAGGTAAGTTAGTCTGTTTCTTCTTTCGCGTGAAGGAAGAAAACTGATTTGCCGCTGCTGTAGTGCTGTCGAGAGGTTGCGGAGCAGAATCCCGAAATCGTTTACGAGGAAGTGATTATCGACAATTGCTGCATGATGGTAAGCTTCAAAATCAGACTTTTTGTCGTTCAGCCTCTCTGATCCTGCTTGTTTCTTGCAGCTCGTAAAAAATCCTGCCTTGTTTGACGTGTTGGTGATGCCAAACTTGTATGGAGATATCATCAGTGATCTCTGCGCTGGTCTCATAGGCGGCCTTGGATTGACACCGAGGTAAGTTCTCTCGATTGGGTCGCGAAAGAATCACTGCTCTGTGTGACCGACCAGTGGCAACATTGGAGACAACGGGCTTGCTCTGATGGAAGCTGTCCATGGAACGGCACCCGACATCGCTGGAAAGGTATCAAATTTCGTTTGTTTCTCGGAGCTGTCACTGATGCCAAAAAAAAAAAAAAAAAAAAAACTTTTTTCCTTTTCGCAGAACAAGGCAAACCCAACGGCGTTGCTCTTGAGCGCAGTTATGATGCTCAGGCACCTCAACATGAATGAGCAAGCAGAGAAGATCCAAAGCGCTGTGCTAAAGACAATAGAGGAAGGGAAGTACCTGACGGGCGATCTGGGAGGCAACGCTGGCACCACCGAGTACACGAATGCTGTTTGCGAGAAGCTATAGGAAGAGTAACGACGAAAGGGAAAACAAATCAAGGAAGCGAACGAACGAACGAGCCTGTGCGCGTTGCTCATTACGACGTTAGGCTCTCCGGTGGCTTCCTCTCGCCCAAGACAAGTTTTACAGTAAGATCGATTTCCAGGCTCGCGATGTCTCTATTGACAGAAGACCGTTTCTCTCTTGTTTTTTTCTTCTTCTTCTGATGACTCGAATGAATAAAGTTTGCAGACAAATAAATCTTTACGAAAGAACTTCGAGAAGAAAATAGGAAATTCTTTGAGCTTAAGAAGATCGAAGGTAGAAAGAAATTCCTGCCCTGGATCGGAAAATCCGGTTGTTAGAAACAAAGATTTTACCTTTTGGTGCATGCAATCCTCCGTGTGAGCCACAGGCTGCCAGGTGCTACGTCCATGCCAGCCCCAAATCCAAATAAAAGACCAATGGATCTCCTCTTCTTTCCCACACAGCTCCAATTCTCCATCTCCAGTCCATCAATCACAAGCTCTTCGATCGCCATGGGCGATCTCGTCAAGTCCAAATCCAATGATTCCGGCATCACGCTCCAGCATCTCAAGCAGCGATCCTCTGCGCGCCGCGTTCTTGGCATCCTGGCGATCCTGGCAGTGGGAGCGATGGTGCTGGGGGGCGGCGCCGTGGCACTCTTGCTCGTCTCGCCGATCCTCCTCTTTTTTAGCCCTATCCTGGTGCCGCTGGCGATCCTGGCGACGGGGGCGGCGGTGGCATTCATCGCTTTCGTGGCGACCATTACCTGGATCTATAGGTATGCGAGGGGCGGGCGCCCGGCTGGATCACAGCGCCTGGATGCAGTCAAGAGCCGCGTGATGGAGAAGCCTTCACAGGTGAGTGACAAGGCGGCTGCTACTCGTTCGCCTTAGAACTTTGAGTTCCCGCCTGTTTCTTTTTAAATTTATACAAGTCTTATTAATGATTATTAAGATTGAGTTGCCAGTATTATTGATTAAGTCCTAATAAATATGAAAATGCAAAAATGATTATTCTTATAGCTATATTTTTTTATTTAAACTATATATTTATATAGGTAATTAACAAGAAATTTTAGAGAAAATGCTATGTGCAGATGGTAAAGGTATATTCTGAGAATATTATTATTTTATACTTGTGTTATAAAAATTTTAATCATAAACTGTTTTGCTTTATTTTTTTTACTAATTTTATTTTCATTGTAAGCTTATCTCTTGATTGAGAAGCACTCTTCCACGTGGCTTTGAGGTGACACTAGGACCTATGCCGCTAAGGCTACATTGCTTGCTTTGAGGGGGAAGACAAAATTTTTTCGGTGATGTATTTCCAAAAATATGTTAAAGAGTGTGGTAAGAGAGAACAGGAAAATCTCTCTATGACTGATTTGTGGATGGTAGCATGCTGTAAAGATGTGGAAGGATCCATTTATAAAGCACTCATGCTCAATGGCAAGCACTAGGACTCTCTCCTTTATCCCTTCTTAGCAAGAAAGGACCTTGGACATGATCATGGGGATGGAGCTCAGCCGATGGCTTGTTTTTTGCTCAAGCCTCGCCATGATCGATGGTCTCACTTTTTTTTCATTCATTATAAATTGCTTGAGCTTCTTTTTGTGTCCTCTTCTGTAAAGGATGCTATGACGAGCTGGTTGAACACTTGCAAGCAAAGCAAGAAGAATCTCAAGAGACCCCTGCTGGCAGTGCCACCTCTAATGATGTGTGAAAATGTAGCACTTAGCCAAGAAAGAGAAAGGACATTACTACTATGCTTCAAAAGAAGGGTGGAGTCAAGCCAAACAACAACATCTTCATGACCAGAATCAGGCAGTTGCTACTCCACTTCTCTTGACTTCCACAAGTTTCAAGAGGACCTGGAGTGAACTTGATTGTGTGAATACTAGTTATTAGGGCAATTTATTATTGTAAGGAATAAAATAAACCAAACTACAATTTTACAATTAGATAACAAGAATGACATGGAACTATCCCCTTTTAGCATTCCGTTTTTACCATTAGTTTAAATTTCTAAATTTAATGTCATAATTTTTATTTTATTTTATTTATATCACATTGATTGAAAAAACCTTATGAATAGAAATAAAGAAATAATATAATTAACTAAACGTTGATTGCTATAAGTTTTAGACAAACCATTATTGTGTTTATGGCTCTATAGAAAAAATATACATATGTATATGATCTTTGATCACTACGGTTGGCGTTAAAGGTATCAGTGGAGCTAGAGCAGTCTGAACTGATCAGGGAATTTGTACCTCTTCTCAAAAGGTATGAGAGACCTTCCATCTCTTGGCATTGGCCGGTTATGGAATATAACCAGCCAAGATCCAACGGCTGAGCTCAAAGAGCACTCAGTTCCTTTATTGCTTAGAAACTCTACCCAGCCGTGACAACGTTAAGGTCCAGTCTTCTTCTTCTGGCAGCAACTAAATCCTCAACGTGAGAAAGCCAAGCCCTCTGTTCATGGCTGTTTGCAACGTCTCTTAGAACTCCAAGGTGTCGTGCCTGAATGAGATATATGAGACAGGCACCTTCATCAAACACACTTTTCACTTACCAGCCAACGCTCAAAAGCACGCAACCTCCGCCGCTGCCCATTCCAGTAGCTATGTGACGGCAATGGCAAAGTGCCTAGAACTACGGACAAGTATTGTAGAACAAAGGTTGGATTATCCGTAGAAGTCGCCAGATTGTAGTTTGCCGCCTGTCAACAATACCTCATTAGAGAACACAGAAAAGGAAAGAAAGGAAGCAAGATTACTCTTAGAGGTGCCCCGTTATGTACTGCAAAAAACACAAGGTCCAACCCCGGTTGTAAAAGGAACTGTAATGAAAAGAAACAATTCCATCAAGGGCCAATTCAAACGACAAACTTACTATCGGAGCTCCAGATGATCCAGAGAGCGAAGAAAGAGACGTTGCCACCATTGTAGAATTGTAATCGACAACCCTGCCTACACTGAGAATCGAGTCACCGTCTACGAAACCACAAAACGACTCTTTTAGTGCACTCTCGATGTTGAGTGCGAGTCTTTTGGTTAACTCCATTTTGAACTGCAGGAGATCCTGATCAGAGTTGTGCTTCGCCAATTCGCTGCAATAAAAGTCCAAGGATATGAGATGACTGTCCAAACGTTTAGAGCCCACCTCCGGTACTCGTCTTCAACGAGAAAGGAGTACGTTTTCAACAATGCCCACTTTTCCTGCTCCTCTCCACTCTCCAGCACTTTCCTGATAACAGAAGAACCTGAGAGCAAAAAATAAGAAACTACAAGCGAGTAACACACAACTTACAGGGGTAGCTGACCATGCCGCAGGCAGCATCCTTTGCATCCTCAGCTTCGGCCTCCAAAGAACAAGGCAACCAGAAAGTCGCAAACCTTGGAGATGTTGTAGCCCTCTTGCAGTCTCCAAACTTATCGTCTTTTGTGGTCTCCCACAATCCCGCATCTGCATTCTCCAAGTACGCCTCCCCGTTTCCAGCGTGAATGACATCCAGCACAGGATCCACGGTTTTCACGTCAGCGACCACTGGAAGTTCCTTGAATTCCAACAGCGCCCTGGGCGTCGCAGCTTTCAAGAGCATTTCTGGCCTGAAAGTTGTGACCAAGGCAGCCCGCCATCGCGTCATGACGTTGCCTTTCTCGTCTTTCAGCATGTGTCGAGCACTGGCCCCATAGCTGGAGCTCAAGGGAAAGAAAACCCCCGGCACCAGCTTATCCTCTTTTCCGCGGGCGTCCATCCTGAAAGTAGCCATGGCGTTCCTTTCCACTATAGCCTGCCCTGCGACCATGAGATGCCTGGGACTATCGACGATTCCTTCGCCTAGAATCTTCCACTTTTCCCTTTCGGATACATCTAGGTGCGCGTTGCCCGTGATGAGGTAGAGAGGAGACAAGCAAAACTCGTCTTCTGGCCCCAAATCGGCGTCTCGCACGCCTCTTTGGAGGATCTCCTGTTCGGCGGCTTCCTGTTCGGCTTCTTCTTCGAAGATGAGACTCGGGGGAGGATCTAGCACAGACCTTGGACGCCATTCCATCCCGTGCGCCATCTCCAGTCCTAGAAGCGCCTCTTCGAACCCGCCCTCGCCCTCGCCCTCCATCTCTCGCTCAAGAACCCTATCAAGAACCCTATCTACTCTTTTAAGTAGCGATAGCCGAATTTTGTGGGCCGCCGGATTTGGCCAATCGGCGCCGTCGGATGCGGGGTAACCCGTTTTCCTTACACGCTCCAAGAAAAAAATTCTCCTTTTACCGCGGCTCCTCTTCCGCCCTGCAGCTGCGACTTCCACAACCCCAGGCAGCGGATGATCCGCCCGCTGAGGATAATTTTCTAGTGATCAGGTGAGTAGAGCAGGGCCGAATCATTCAATCTCTCTGGCTCCTCACGGGATCTTCCTGCAAGCGTGCAGCGGGTGTGCAGCGAGCTCACATTCAGCGATCCACGCGATATATCGATGGTGCTCAAGGATTTGTTCCTGGCCGCTGTGTTTACAAGGGATTGGCGTGGTGTGTTTGAACGTGGTCGCATGGATAAGTGGATTTTCTTTGGTAGCTGAATGAGTATTGCTGCTTCTTTCCTATTTTACTTTTGTCATTCCTGAAGCTGGTCATCCCATTCCAAGTGCGTACCTCAGAGTAAAAGCCGTTTCTTTGTTTCTCGTGCATCAGCAGGCTTGAAAGCTGTGCATGATCCCAGTCCATTCAAGTTCTTGAGGCTTGGAGTTCCAGGCAAAGTCATCACGAAAACACATAATGTAGATTAGGTAGTAGACAAGTTTCAGTCTTGGTCATGAGATAAAGAAATTTGCCAGGTTGATGAAATTCCAATTTAGTTGGGAAGACTCCTTAACTCAGCAATGGTGGATCTATTCTTTGGTAGGCTTTCTCTCTTTGGATCCATGCCGAACACACTAAAGCACAATAAGAATAACATAATAATTCTTACTAAGTGGTAATCTCTTGCACTGAATAAAAAAAAAGAGTACTAGAGCTGCGAAGAGAAAAGACCCTTGTTGCAATGGCTTTGCTTGCAAGAGATACCTAAAACTTTTAACGATTCTTTCACTCTAGGTATTTTAAAGCAAGTCTGAAGATTAAATGCTTTCCATCTTGGGATTCTGAAGCATGGTTGGTTGACTAATATATTGTTCTTATATTTTAATTAAGTAAAACTTTGCTAATAATAATTATTTTTAGTAATTCTTTTTAAATCTGGGTAGCATTCTAAATTTATCCATATTCAAAGTACCTAATTAAGTAATATTTAAATTAGTTCTTAGTAATTCTTCTTCTTTTACTTTTACTTTTAAGTATTCTAAGTTAATTTATATTCAAATTAAAACATAATTTACATGTAACTATGGCAAGTAATTTGCAATTGTAGGTTTTAGAGGTATACCTGAAGTAGGTAGCCTATTAAAAGAATGTATAAGTTTACAAGATATATAAATTTGCTTGAATTCTTTAAACACATCATGAAATAATCTTTTACCGCCATGGTTTTCATGTGTATAACCCTAAATGTGTTATATACTAATTATATATACCCTTTCTTTATGACTAAATCTCCATTCTTGTATGTAAGCAGGTCTATTGTTTTTGGCAGTGTTTTGCTCAATGTTTGGGATTGTGCTTTTATTCTTATTCTTTTGTTCTCTTTTAAATCTAGATTTATATTAGCTTTTTGCTAAATCTAGGATTATAACTTTCTAATCTATTCTTCTTTTAATCTTCATTGCATTCATTTCTTCTGTCTGTAAGCAATAAGAAAAAAACAATTTGAAAGATAATCCATAAGGGTTAAAATATAAAAGAAAAGGGTCTATAAACAAGAGTGCACTTTTTTTAAAAAAATTTCTAAGGGTTTTGGAATACTTGAGGTTAAGTACCCTTGGGTTTAAATAATAGTGCATTGGGTGACTTTTCAGGAAGTTTATATTTATGAGTTTACATTGTCATGCTTCATTATTATTGATCAAGGACTAGGTTAAGTGATTTCTCAGAAAGTCTAAATTCAGGAATTTATACTGCCATGCTATACTATTATTAATCAAGGAGTCTGTCATTTAAGGTTACAAATGATATATCATTATTGTCACCTAATAATATTTTTTATATAGTTATATCCTCTTCAGATTAAGCTTTTGATGTTGTGCAGTATAATTTTAATTGTGTCATGCCCATCCTTGGTGTATTGCTATAGTTTGATTCTTAGAGAATATTCAAAAATCAAATTTATAGGAATAGACTTTTATTGATAAGGAATTCAATTACTTTGAAAAGTGTAAGCAACCAAAGGGAATGACTTGAGAAATACAATTTATAAATATAGCATACGTGATTTTCACTCTTTATTTTATAGTGATTTACTATAGAATAACCATGAAGAAGAACCTATACCTTCCATGTGCCATGTGTCATTTGCCATGTGCCACATACCATGTGTCTAAGGACAGTAAAGTAAAACTCAAGTTTTAAGGCTTTAAGCCATTAAATGAAGGGATAGAGCCAAACTCCTAAACATAGAGCCCAATAAGTGAAGAAAGCGAAACACAAAATGACTCCCAAATGTATAACCTAAGGAGAGAAGGGATAAAGGCACCAAGTGATGTTGGAATAATCCAAGAGTTTCTAGCATCCCAATGCTAGAACTAGCATGTAAAACAGAGTTAAACGGAGTTTAGCATTATTTCAACATACCAATGGTCTAACACAAGGATATAGGTAATTCACTAGTTAATATAGTATGGAATTTGGGCTTGGACCCAAACCAAATAGAGAACAAGAATAAACGTGCAAATGAAAGCTAAATTATACATTTTCCTACTATACATTTGAAACCCCCCACAGTGGATTTCTCAACAATATCTAGTTCCTAAAATGATTCAACTAACAAAATTTAGTCATCTACCAACATATGACCATCAACAAACTTGATAGGGGGTTAAAGGTGTTTGGATCGAATGACTCAAGGACCTCCCAAGCAAGGTGACATTGATGCATCCAATACATCTGGTTGATCTACCAGACCACGCTGTCCCAAATTATACTTTTCAAGGACCATTTCTTCTGACCACCCCTTGTTGTCACAATAAATGTTGGCTTTCCAATTAGTGTTTATAAATTATGAATATGTTTATAATTATAAACTTCTATTGAATAAATAAATAGGAATAACATTACTGTTATCTAGATTGACTAGACAAATTGACTTCTCCACATGAATGTGATTCACAGCTGAAGCAATAGATGATGAACTAGTGCCTGAGGTCATTCCCCCTTGCTCTAGTGTGGTGGCATGATCTGGAAGTGGCTGTGGAGCATAGAAGATGGAACTATCCCCTTTTTAGCATTTAGTTTTAAGAAAAGTTAATTTAATTTATTTATATTACATTAAATCCATCAAGGAAGTCTTACTTGAAAACCACCATATCTAGCCTCAAGTGCATTAATATGCCCACACATAATAGCCATTATGCCATACATCTCCTCTTGCATCTTTTGTTAATTTTGGTTAATGGCTTGCAACTCAAGAACAATATCATAGATAGTCCAAACCTTTATAGCTCTATTGAATACCACCATCAACAATAGGATTGTACATTTATTTTGGTTTGCCATTATAACCACCTTTGATATTAATGTTCTAAATGAACAACAACCATTAGATAGTAGAATATCCTAGAATATCCAAGCATATTCAAATTATATTTAATACCACTTCAAGTTTGCTTAAGTAAACCAATAATAGATCTATGGTGTTTGGTATCTTTGGTGATAACACAAAACCTCTACCACAAAGATTAGATGGTGGTAATTTAAACAGATGTAAATATTATTTAAATTACTAATTTTATTTAAAATACCTGATTAATAAAACTGTTTGCAGCTAAGACCTTAATAGAATATTCTTTAGTATATCAGAATATTATTGTCAACTCCCTTGGCTCATTATTTACTAGCTCCTTGTATTAGCAAATCATTTTATATAAAGCATAATCCTTGATGGTGATAACTATTTGAGAGAGATGCCATTTTAAGTTCTTTTTTAAACACTACTAAACAATATATACCAAGTTTGGAATAGAATTTCAACACCACCAGTGTTTTATGGTTTCATGAGTAACAAAGTATAAACAAATTGTTGAGGTATTAGAATTGTCTATAATGGTGGTATAAAAAAAATGTTAATTAGCTGAGAGAGGAATTACTTTCTCCATTGGGAATAAAGTTTACATGAGCACACAAAAAAATGTATTTAAGTTGAACACCATGATGAGCACAAGTGGTTTTGATAGAGTTTAAAAGGTACAAACACTTTATAAAATGCAAATAAATACTATAAGTTTATATGTTTATAGTGGGTTGGAAGTAATGCTTATAAAAAATACAATTCTAGAACTACAGACTTGGCTGATATAGTGGTTTATTTGTTTTCTACATTTAAGGACTTTAGTTACTTCTCAAATAAGGAAGTACTCACATTGATCTCTTTATTAATTCTCTTTCTTTAGTAAATGAGTTTTAAAATACTTGATAAATAATAAATTTTATTAAAATTCACCATATGATATGGCTATCAAAAATAAGTTGCTCCAAATGCGTATCCAATGTGTGGCAACAAGTTAAGCAATAGAAGATAAACTCATACTTAAAAGCATTACAGTTAAAGGTGGAAGTTAAAAGTCTCAACATTAAACAACAATATTATCATTACAAGTATATAATTCTCAATTATAGAATTGATATTGTAAATAAAAATATTCACCATATCACAACAAATTAATTTCCAAGTTGCACTTGCATATACTTCCTGCAATATTATATTTTTAGTGAGTTTTTAATCCCTTACAAACATATGTATTTTATCTATTTAATGCTTTTGGGAATGGATCCAAATGTTAAAATTTAGATTCATCACAATATCTTAATATGAGGGTTTCATAAAATTGAGAAAAATTAGATATTAGTATTGTATTTGTATTTGAAATTTTGTATATAAAATATTATTTATAAGTTACACATAAAATAAAAAGGGCATTTCTAAAAGTTACTCTGAAATTGATTTTATAGTAATAATTAAATATTTATTAATACTAATTATTA